AAAAAAAATAAAAATTTAAGTTCTACTTTTAATTGATAGGACTATAGTAATTACATTTTTCGAGTAAGTGTTAGAACACTATCGTTTACACTTTACTCTACGATACTAAAATCCTTGCCATTATTCGGTTTATCTAAACATTTTAGTAGTAAATTATAATTTTAGTAATACTTTTTATCAAACAATGGTCACAGGATAAATATCATATGCCATAATATTCATTTGAAAAGTCTTAGAATGAAAACTGAATTGATGAAATATGATTACGGTTCGCACATAATAACATTAATCATATTTCTTAATTCACACGATATGACTAAGGTCAAATTAGATACATAGATTCCTTTGTTCTCGAAGTAACGAGTGTCACCTACTTCTTTTTAGAGGTACTGTAGAGTTCTTTTTTTTTAGAGATGTCAAAAACAATCTTATAAAAATATTAAGTTAAAGGCTTAATAAAATACTACCTGTTTCAATAGAAAAAAAAACTTCAGGTCGATTCAACAATGTATATTTTTCATCAAATTTGGTATATACATTTTATTTTTATGTTGTAGTATTGTTAAAATATGGTTGGTTTGGACGTAAGAAACAAAGATACCATCAATTCATTGTACAGATGCCTAATGTGTGATTTAATTTGGCGAGAACCTTATCAGCTTTCATGTGATCATCATCATTGTAAAACTTTTTTAGAAGATATTGTAGAGTATATACAAATAAATTCTTAATTTCAATTGAAAATTGTATTTCTTTCATCAAGGAATATTATCAAATGTGCAGAGTGTTATGTAGAAACATCAAAAGATGAAGTCAATTTTTAGAATTATTTTCTATTCAAGAAATAATTTTTTGTTTTTACAGATAATGCTTGATCAAAGTTTCATAAATGGTATGAAATCGTTATCAATTACATGTTCATTATGTCTATGGAATGGTTTATTTAAGGATTATGAGGTAAAATAATCATATTTTATGAAAGTTATTTTCATTATAATAGCAATACATATCGCAATAATTAAGTATTTTTTAAAAAAATTTTTTAATTTTGTGATTTAAAATAAAATTTTTCATTATGAATTCATCTTTCAGGAACACCTAACAACAACTCATTCAAATCCAATATGTGAATTTTGTGAAGAAAAATTTGATTCAACGATTAGACTTGATGAACACAAACAAAAAGAATGTATCAAAATTACAACTACAACAAACAAAAATATAAATAAACAAATGCAACGAATCTGTGAAACTAGAAATATTCTTCCTAGTGGAATTCAAATATTAAATGATGATACACAAAGTCTTAGTAGTGAATCAAGTCGATTACTAAGTTCAATTCAATCTTTAGCACAACATTTTTCATCGATTAAGTTTAGTATTCAAGAAGAAAGTTCTTTTTTAAATGGTATTAAAATTAATCAAGAAATTCTTCAACAAGATATTGAATCACTGAAACAAAAAATTGATAATACGCAATATGTATCATATGATGGAACATTCACATGGAGAATAACCCATATTTATGAAAAAATGTGTAAGTTTAATCTGAAAAAAACCAAGATTATATTATTGAAATAGACAATTGAGTTTCTTTGTCGATTAATGATTACTAATCTATTGATAATAAGCAATAGAACTTCTTTGAATTGTTTTAGACGAAAATATTTGTAAATATTCATTGAATTCTTTTAGTGTTATTAAGAGACAAAAATAGAAAACTGAAATTTAAAAACCTGTTCTCATTCAGTTATTTGCTAGCCGAAGCTCAATCTCAACGACAAACATCAATTTATTCACCTCCATTTTATTCGTCACTCACAGGCCATAAAATGACAGTTCGACTTTATCTAAATGGTGATGGCAATACTCGACGTACAGATACACGACTAGCTTTTGTTCCAATGTCCGAGCGACCGAAAACATTGCTACGATACCAGAGACAAGCGAGGCAGCCGAAAAAACGTTTCGTCAACGTCTCGCCCAGATTTTTCTGTAAACCCTCATCTTGCCATCGCCTCTTCCAACCTCGCTAAGAATCACACATAAAAATAGACGTCTTTTCATGAATTTTTTCAAACCCATGTAACAATTACTATTTTCTTTTGTTTCATAAGATGAAATAAACTAGAGGGTGTCCGGAAAGTGATTGATCAAAAATAGAACTTTATCTCGATAATAGCTCTATTGAATGAATTGGTTCTTGTACTGATGATAAAAAACAGTTCAAAGTTTTATTCAATAATATAAAGTTCTCCAATACTCTTACAAAGAGTGTGGGGTGTGTTGATCAAAAGAAGGCATACACCCACATCCACTCTAAACGACAGTTTTAGGTAAGCTTTCGAATTCGATAAAAAAAACATTCAAGTTGATTGTAGGACTGAATTGAATTTTTAAACAATATCGTAGTTATCTCAACGACAATCGAGTGAAAAATTGTTTTTTTTATGTAATGTTTTCTTAAAAAATTGAGCGTGAAAATTTGATAATCAATAATTTCAATATTATCTAGATTTTTTCGAATAAATAAACTTTTGAATGAAACAAACGAATCAGAAGAAGAATATCCATCATAAAAATGATATTTATGTGACTACGTAGTATGATTAGGTAAAAAAACACTATAAATTCCAAATAATCATGAGTTATGTAATAAAATGAGATAG